CCGCACTGCGTTGCTTTGACGCATGCGCGTTTGAGCGCGTCCGGTGTCACTTCATCACGAAAAGAGGGAAGCGCAGTGTTGTCTAGATATCGCATCGGCACGAAATTCAACAATTCACATTTCGCACTGGTTGCTGTCGGGCTGCATCGACGGACGGTGGTCGCGCATGGCATCATACAATAGGGTGCTCGCGTTTTGCTAACGTTGTGTCGCTGTGCCAAGCGTGCGTGCGCGTAACGCTTCATCAGGGTATATTGTGCCCTTCATGATGCGCTCGTGGCCGTTTTGCTAGCTCCACGTGTACGAAATTTAGTGTTACGTGACGTGAATAGATGACGAAATATATGACTGGCGCAAACATCATAATCCTCACTCGCGTGTTATGTGAGAACATGACAACATACCACGCTCTTAGCGTGCTCGCGGCCGTTTCGCTAGCATCACATGTACTAAATTTGGTATCACGTGGACGTGAAGTAGATGACGAAGGTAAGCGACCCATCTAAACATGATAATCATGGCACGGAAGTCATGGACGGCATCATTTACCTCCACCTCGTAACGTTGTGCCGATTTTAAAGTGACACATCAACATTTCTCACGTGCTTCGCATATAATTGGTTTCTACAGTACGTGGGATCTGCCAATTGTAAATGCGAAGCATTTCTTAGCGAGCTTCGGTGACTTTGAGCGTATCTATCTATCTATCTATCTATCTATCTATCTATCTATCTATCTATCTATCTATCTATCTATCTATCTATCTATCTATCTATCTATCTATCTATATAGTCGCTTAAGACTTTCAGCTCTCCTGGCCATTTCAACAATGGGATCGATACCAAACTTGGTATAGCATAACATGACTGTATGGGGAACATATATGACTACTCATACCATGAAAGTCATGACATGTATGTCATGAAAGTCATGATTTACATTTCATGATCTTGCAGCACTCGCGGTGGTTTCGTTCACATTACATGTTGAAAAACTGGTGTGCTATGACATGACAGCATGGTGAACGCAAGCGACGGACCTTTTTTTCTTTTCAAAGTTTAAAAGTTTATTCAAAGTAAGAAGTACAAAGTACAGTGCACAAAGTACAGTAGACACAAGTAAGGGGCAGGGTTGGCAATAAGGCAAATTATTGCCTGACAAGGTGCCGTAACCCGTCCAAGACTATAAAGCGCAAAAAAGCAGCAATGTACACATAATTTAAATGTTTTAACAAAGAAGCAGCCGCATCTACCTTAACGTCGAAGTCATGACATGCGTGTCATGCAGGTCATGAATCATGACTACACGCCACGCTCATGGTGCGCTTGTGGTCGTTTCGCTGGTTTCACATACACCAAATACTGTATTAAGGGACGTGAATGCATGACTAAGCTGTATGACTGGTGCACACTTGGTAGTCAAGAGATGCGTGTCACGTTAGAACATGACTACATGCCACGCTCATCATGCGCTCGTGGTCCTTTCGCTGGCTGCACTTAATTAGGCATTACGAGACGTGAATGAATTACGAAGGTATGTGACTCGCAAATATGATGATCATTAAGTGCGTGTCATGTAACAGCAGTACAACATGCCACGCTTATGATGAACTCGCGGTCATTTTGCTAGCTTCACATATACCAAGTTTGGTATTGCGTGACGTGAATGGATGCGGGAGGTATGTTTCTGGTGCCAAGATCATAATCATGACATGCGTGTCATTTAGGAACATGACTACATGCCTCACTCAAGGCACCAATACACTTCGATGGGACCAGGCGCGCGTGCGCGCAAATGTTCGTTTCTTCGCTTCACGGCCGCGATGCACGCCAGGCGCCGATCTGCCTGCCATATACTCGCAGGCGTGCGTGACGTTGCGTTGCTTAGACGCATGCGCACATGAGCATGGCGGGCGTTTCTCCGTCACGAAGAGATACAGACGCAGTGCTGTCTGGGTAACGTCATCGGCGCGAAATGCACAATGTCGCATTTTGCGCCGATTGCCATGTGCCCGCGCCGACGAACGCTGATCGCACCGGATGCGCCTGGCGTCAGCCCATAGAGTGCTCGCGTTGCTAGCGCTGCATTGTTGTGCCCAGCGTGCATGCGCGTCAACGTTCCGTCGGAGTGTATTGGGCCATTCATGATGTGCTTGTGGTCATTTCGATAGCTCCACATATACCAGTTTTAAATGCAAAGCATTTCTTGGCGAGCTTCGGCGACTTTGAGCGTATCTATCTATCTACCTATCTATCTATCTATCTATCTATCTATCTATCTATCTATCTATCTATCTATCTATCTATCTATATCTAGCCGCCTACGACTTCTAGCTCTCCTGGCCGTTTCGATGATGGTATCGATACCAAACTTGGTATGCCACAACATGACTGTATGAGGAACATATTTGACTAGTCATAACATAAGAATCATGACATGTATGCCATGAATGTCATGATTTACAATTCACGATCCTGCAGCTCTTGTTGTGGTTTCGTTCCCATGGCATGTTGCAAAACTGGTATGGTATGGCATGATTGCATGGCGACCATAAGAGACAGACCCTAACATAAAAATCGTGACATGCATGTCATGTAACAACATGAGTACATGTCACGGTGATGATGCGCTCGCAGCCGTTTTGCTAGCGTCACATATACTAAATTTGGTATTACAGTACGTGAATGGATAACGAAGATATGTGACTGGTGCAAACATGATAATCATGAGATGCGTGTCATGTAACAACGTGACTACAAGCCACGCTCAAGATGCGCTTGCGGCCGCTTTGCTAGCTTCACTTATACCAAATTCGGTGTTACGCGACGTTAATAAATGACGAAGGTATGATACTGGTGCAACATCATCATAAACATAAAATGCGTGTCATCTAACATGACTACAAGCCACACTGATGATGCGCTTGCGGTCATTTCGCAAGCTTCACATAGGCCAAATTTGGTATTACGTGACGCCAATGGATGCCGAAGGTATGTGACTGGTGCAAACATGATAATCATGAGACGCGTGTCATGTAAGAACATGACTACATGCCACAGTCAAGGCGCCAATACATTTCGACTTGACGCGGTGCGAGTGCTCGTCGGCATTTTTTTCGTCGCGTCACGCCAGCGTTGCCGCGCCAAGCGCCGGTCCTGCCACGTACTCGCAGGCGCCCGCCGCGCTGCGTTGCTTTGACGCATGCGCATTGTAGCCCGTCCAGCGTCCCTCCATCACGAAAAGAGGGAGACGCAGTGTTGTCTGGGTAACGCATCGGCGCGACATGCAGCATGTCGCATTTTGCGTCGGCTGCCATTGGGCAGCCCCAACAGACGCTGGTCGCTCGTGTCGTCAGACTATAAAGGTCTCGCGTTTTGCTCACGTAGCATCGCTACGCTATACATTGGGCCAGTAATGATGCACTCGTGGCCGTTTTGGTAGCTCCACATATACAAAACTTGGTGTTACGTGACGCCAATGAATGGTGAAATATATGGCTGGTGTAAACTTAATAATCCTGACACGCGTTTCATATATGAACTTGCGCATGACAACACACCCAGCTCATAACGTGCTAGCGGCAGTTTCGCTAGCTCTACATATACTAAATTTGGTATCACGTTACGTGAATAGATGACGCAGGTAAACGACACATCCAAACATTGTAATCATGGCACGGAAGTCACGTACGGCATCATTTACCTCCACCTCGTAAATTTGTACTGATTTTAAAGCGACATATATCAACATTTCTCATTCATGCTTCGCATATCATCGATTACCATTGTACGTGGGATCTGCCTTTTTTTGTATCAGGTGACAATTTACCCCAAACGCCGAGGTTTGAGTCGAAGAAAGCTTTGTTGTTGCACGACAATACATGGCCATACACTGCCCATCACACTATTCTCACTAACAAGATATTTGAGCTCATGGAACGCCCTTTCTACAGCCTATAGACCAAGATCAATGCGACCATGCAACGCATCCACTCAAGGATGCTTTCCATGGTCGCCATTGTCTTAGATTTAGACGTCCGAAATGTGGTCCAAAAGAGGCTTCATAACCAGGCAAAAGTTTTTATCTGGAAGTAATAAATAAGGTCGTTGACCATTTGGCCAAGTGCACCGATAAGAAGCGAGACAGCGTACAAAAATGTGCGTAGTATAACCCTATATTTACGTAAATAAACAGTAGAATGAAGGGTGTGGATAACTTTGGACTTACCCTCGTGTTGAAAGCTGCACGTTGTGTTAATATAACCCCTTCCCCATTTTTGTTTTCACCTGCCAGGGTTCCCTCATCACTTTTACCAGCCCGCAAGAGGCCGCCGAAACATTCACGACTAAGAACTGCTGAAAGAAGAATTAGTCAATACACATTATATCGAAGCCTACGCTTACTCCAGAGCTAATCTACAAAAATTATTTTGATGAGATGGTTGAAATTTGGGTGCTTTTGTTCTGAACAAGTGCAATCGCTGCGGATCCTGGTGGAGCCGTTTTCAAATCAGGCGTCTTTTTTTTTCGTTTTTTTCATCGCTTTCGATATCTGCTTTGGCAGCAAACGAAAGGTAAATTTTCCTAAGGAACGCACCAGGGCACTTCGACGTGCGAGTGTCATTACCAGATACCTAGTTACGAATCATTTTCCTCTCACCATAAACAAAGTTTTGGCCGTACGTCCACTTTCTCCCTGGATGTGTGACCACTCGCAAAGGGCACCACCTGAAACACACACTCAAAATAAAGCTAAGGATGGTATAGGGAATACTACTTGTATGTTTCTACGTTAGCACCGTAATTAGCATCAGACGCGTTGCCTGAAGATTGCTGATTCGGTCATATTTACTGCCATATTTACTATGTTACACTGGAGACTTGAAAAAATGATCTCCATACCTTCCTTCACGTAATCGTGTGTTGGCTACAATACGTTGTGAACAACAAACAAGAATGGAATCCTTGAGCAATCCCTACCCCTCTTTTGTTCACTCCCAGTGGACCATGATCGCGCCCATGAACATGCAAAGAAGCGACGCGTGCGCAACCACGCACGACAGCTACGTGTACGTGACGGGCGGCTTCAGCGGGGACGAGTGCCTCAGCTCGGCCGAGAGGTACGACCCGACGGCCGATCAGTGGACCATGATTGCAAGCATGCGGTTCCGGCGTAGCGGTGTGGGCTGCATAGGCTTCCGCAACTACATCTACGCCATCGGAGGCTTCAACGGCACCAACAGGTTGGCCTCTGCCGAGAAGTACAGCCCGGAGACCAACACGTGGACCAGTCTTCCCAACATGTACACGCCCAGAAGCAACTTTGCCGCGGCCGTAAGTAGTGACTTTATCACTTCGCGTAGAATTCAGGATATGTCCTCATCATCATCATTAGCCTGACTGTACTCACGACGGTGAAGACATTTCCCCCCCCCCCTTCCATCAACAAACGCGATCCTTCGTGACCATGGGGTACTTTGCCTACGTACGGGTTACCTGCCTTGTCGAAATCAACCTCTTCTCTATTTTCTTCAAGGTTATCTTAAGGTCAGGTGGTTCCACTAGCACCATCTTGACATTGGTTTGAAAGAAGAACCCGAGCGACGCCACTAATCCAAGTTTCCAAAGAGGACACGGGGCGCGCAAGAACGGTTAGCGTCGCCACCATAGCGTGGCCTCGCGCGTCTCTAGAATGTCTCGCGAGGCGACGAAATTCGGCTGACAAAAAAAATTGCCCGCAGCTTCCCTCGGGGGAACACTGAGGAGGATGCGGAGCATATAATTGGTTAACGGGGTGTTAAAGTGCGACTTACTTGGGTCGATGGCTAAATTGGTTAACGTGGTTGTGAAATGGGGTGTTAAAATGCGACTTACTTGGGTCGATGGCTAAATTGGCTAACTTGGTTGTAGGAGGGGGTGTTAAATGAGTGAACACGTACACACGTATGCGAAAGGGCGGCGCTGGTCGAAGGGACGTCGATCATTGTGTTTGTGGATTCGTTGGAATTCATTTTACCGCGACTTTGGACGTGGACGCGCCGTACAAACCAACCGACGAGCGGCAACTGAGCGAGCGAGCGCCGACCTTGAGTATATATACAGCGCGACGGCGCATGCACTGTCAGCTGTCGAATGTTCGAGAAGGGGGAGAAGCGCAACGGCGCATGCGCGCGCGTCAGCTGCCGATGTTCTCGAAGCGCGACGGCGCATGCGCGCGCGTCAGCTGCCGATGTTCTCGAAGCGTGACGGCGCATGCGCGCTACATTATACAGCTAGCGAATGTTCGTGAAGAGGAGAAGCGCACGCGGTGGGTAGAGGAGGAAGGGTGCACAGATGGTGGAGGAGTGAAGCGCGCGCGGTGTGTAGAGGAGGAAGGGATGCACAGATGGTGGAAGAAGGAGGAGGAAGCTTGCGGACGGCGCCGCACTACAAGCCTCGAGTATTAGATGCTCCGCATCTAAAAGCCAGGAGCAGAAATGCGGACGGCGCTTTTACCTACAATCAGCCAACTGTCTGACGTCGTTTCGCTCAAGTGTAAACGCGCGCGCGCCCGCACGCACGCCCGCACAGGCGCGCACACACACACGCGCGCGCCCCGCCGTGGTGGTCTAGTGGCTAAGGTACTCGGCTGCTGACCCGCAGGTCGCGGGTTTGAATCCCGGCTGCGGTGGCTGCATTTCCGATGGAGGCGGAAATGTTGTAGGCCCGTGTGCTCAGATTTGGGTGCACGTTAAAGAACCCCAGATGGTCGAAATTTCCGGAGCCCTCCACTATGGCGTCTCTCATAATCATATGGTGGTTTTGGGACGTTAAACCCCACATACGCACACACACACAAACACACACACACACACACACACACACACACACATACACAGGTCAGATAGCTACTCCTGCTTTTTTTTGCTTCTTCTTGTGAGGAGGAGGAGATTGCAGCCATTGATCTTGCCCTTACAGTTCCAAATTATTCAGTAATTACTAGCGTATAAAAACTGCCATCTACAATTTTGGAGGGGCTAGGGTGCCTACAAGCACTAAATAGAAAAACTTGGCAGATCCCACGTACAATCGGAATCGATAATATGCGAAGCATGGATGAGAAATGTTGATATGTCACTTAATACCAGCACAGCGTTGCAGCTTTGAAAACCGATGAAACGCAGACTGTGAATGCATGCGGAACCACACGTTCAACTAGGTAAATCATTCGATTGGTAAACTGCGCTTCAACTACGAGCATAAACAAGCATACTCAAGTTTACCAGCTTTCGCTCGCATAACCCGGCGTAGCCGAACGAAGCCTCATCCTTGCATAATCCGGCGTAGCCGAACGAAGCCTCGTCCATTTTTTACTGTGCAAGTTGTGTTTACTTTGCTCAAACTACTTTTCGTCACATTAATAGGTCGATAATTCCATGAAATATGCAGCGATATACTCAATCCACTTGATACAACAAGTACTCACCTCACAAACACGGGGAGAAGTAGTCGGCTCCAAGCAATGTCACTTCCCATGTGTAATCCAGCGTTTCCGTCGGATAAAGCAAGTCGGGAAGCGGGACTGTCTCCAAATAGTTTTGCATTGCGGCACGCAGCACCATGGCATTTACACTCCAAAGTTCTTATAGGTGCGTGCAGCTCGAGGTTGGTGTCCATCGGATTTGACTACGGTGTAGCCAAACGCCACTCATACCACAGCTTGAACACCCGCTCCAACATGCAGCTAGCACGGTGTGGCGAAGTAGGAACGCCTGGCCACGAGAACCAACATGGCGCGTGGTGCCATGGAAACCGGGACTGGCAACATTGTGTTTTAGCGGGCGGCGGCAAATGGTGGTCAAAGGCACACATTTCATTTCATTTCATTTTCATTTGTTTACTTTCAGCGCCCGAGGGCATTACAGAAAGGAGTGGGGTTTCACAACTAAAACGCGCAACAACATTCAAAGCACTTCTTGGTGGGTGATGACCTTGAAGCTATTTACATCTGTGATGGAGGCGATGGCGGCGGGAAGGTGGTTCCAGTCCCTGCTTGTTCGTGGATTGAAAGAGTCATAATAAAGATTAGTTCGACTAGATGGCACACCAACTTTTAAACCATGATCCAAACGGGATGAAATGTAGGAGGGGTTTGTGAAAAGCTGTTCTTTTAAAATGGGGTTGTGATGAAATATTTTGTGAAAAAGTGAAAGCCGAGAACATTTACGACGCATCGACAGATCAGCCAAGTTTAGCGACATCTTTATTGCAGTTACGCTAGAATGGCGGGAGTAGTTAGAAAATACAAAACGAGCTGCGCGGTTTTGAATCGATTCGAGGGCGAGGATTAGAGTATGTTTAGAAGGATCCCAGATGGCGCATGCGTATTCTAATTTCGGACGTACTAGCGTTTTGTAAAGAGTTAGTTTTAGTGATGAAGGTGCAGATGAAAAATTGCGACGTAAATATCCGAGCATGCGGTTACAGTTGTTAGTTACATAGTCAACATGCATCTGCCAAGACAGATTATTTGTGATATGAAGACCGAGGTATTTATATGAATCGACGTGTGATAAAGAAGCGGCATGAAGACTATACGTGCACGTGTTAGCAGTATTATCACGACGCGAAATTCGCATGTATTTGAATTTGGACACGTTAAGACGCATGAGCCATTTATTGCACCACTCGGATAGGTTGTTAAGATCGGTTTGAAGTTTCAAGGTGTCAGCTGGGGTAGAAATTTTCAGATACAATGCACAATCATCAGCAAAGAGTTTAATGGTTGAAAAAGTGATGCAGGCGGGAAGATCGTTAATGTAAATAAGAAAGAGCAACGGCCCCAGTACTGACCCTTGAGGTACGCCAGACGTTACAGCGCAAGAGGGGGATAAACAGTCATTAGCGGTTACGTACTGGGTTCGGTTAGAAAGAAAGTCTTTAATCCAAGAGAGAACATTAGGGTCAATGTTGAGTTTGGTAAGCTTCAGAATTAGTAAGTCGTGAGATACAGTGTCAAATGCTTTCGCAAAATCAAGAAAAATGCAGTCAGTATCGAAACCTTGATCAGCGTTAACAAACAGGTCGTTAGTAAAGGACAAAAGCTGGGTGTCGCATGACACCATCTTCCTAAAGCCGTGTTGACAGTTGTTGAAAAAGAAATTTTCTTCGAGAAAACTAACTAAGTGTGAATATATTATGCGCTCTAACATTTTACATGGAATGCTTGTCAGTGAAATGGGACGGTAGTTCTCTGGTGAATTAGTGTTACCTGATTTGTGAACCGGAACCACCTTGCCCTTTTTCCAGTCGCCAGGTAGGGATGAACACTGCAAAGACTGATGAAAAATCTTCGAAAGAATTAGTGATGAGTACATCTCTGTACATTTCAATATTTTGGAATTTATGGCATCAGGACCCGCAAAAGAAGACACATTCAAGTTGTTGATCAGTTTTCTAACTTCTACCCAATCTATCACAATATAGTCCATAGGAAAAAAATTATGGCTAGGGGCTGTTGGAACAGAAGACGAAAAACTGCGCAGAAAAACTGGACAAAATGCATCGTTTAAAAGCTTGCAACATTCATTATTTGGAACAGGTTTGCCACAGTGTGTTAATTGCACTATCTTGTTTTTGTTACCGTTCACAAGACACCAAAATTTTCGTGGATTGTTTTGTAGATAAGAGGGAAGAGTAACGTTAAAGTAAGCATTTTTTGCATTAGCAACTTCATGGGGGTACTCGGCGTTAGCGTTTTGGTACTCGGACCAACGGCTGAGTCTGTCGACTCTCTTGGCAGAGCGAAACAATCGCTTCTTCTTGTTGCGTAAGCGTCGAAGTGTAGCATGTAGTGGGGCGACCGGTAACATGTGCAGAGAATGAAATCTTGGCTTGACAGACAGATTAGTACACAGATAAGTTCTAGGCCGGAAGATACATTAACCACATAAGATTTCAGAGCACTGCTGACACCAATCAATACACCTCCCCCAGAACGTACGTTACGGTCGTAACGATAAATGTTGTACGATTTTTCGCATTCAAATATTTCACTGTTCTTTATTATGGCTAACAGCCAAGTCTCTGTACAAACAATAATATCTGCTGAACATGAATCAATTGTAGAAGATAACTGCACCCGCTTGTTCATCATGCTCCGTGCATTTGTGAAAAGTACAGACACGTGCTCGACATGTGGCTGCGATGAAGATAGCTATGGATGGGGACTGGCGCGGGGAGTATGCACTGACGCGCTACCGCTCGATGCATGCGACATTTGGTTAGGAGTGACGTCACAAACCTCATCGGTCGCCGCGCAGTATACGTACGTTTTCTTGTTCATTACAAGTTTG